GAGTCACATACGAGTGCTTTCAAATTTAAACAAAGATACATGCTTATCATTTTTAGCCAAATTGTGAGAGATAGAGACAAATGGTCGACGATCTAGATGAGGCTCATGGATATTCATCCGTATCAGTTCATGAAGTCTATATAAACTCCACTCCACAATGTGAGGGAGGAGAATGATATGCCACCGCTTGTCCATTTTCATGTGTGATAGAGAGAGATAAAGACAAGGAGGTGATTACATTTATCCACCATAAGTCAAGAGATAGGCTATTGATATCGCTATTCTCTGATCCGTGGGGCAAAAATATGATTAAGAGAGAAAAGTTGTTGAACCCGACTTACTTGAAACCTCAATTCGAGAAGGAGTAGACCATGGACAATACTCTTGCGAATAGTTAGGTATATAGGCCCATATACCCATGGTATTGATTTCTTTCTATTTTGTCTATATATTTGTCTTTCTTGGATTGTGATGTATAAGCTTCAAGGCTTGAATCAAGGGTATTCATCTTAGCATTTAGGCTGATGTAAATTGTAATAGAGATTTAAGTTTTTGAAATTCCTTAGTACTCAGTATATATATGTAAAAATCCTTTATTTTCATAATACGGACATTAGGGCGAATTTGGCCCCGTTTGTGTTAGTCATTTGATTATTCCTTTAAATTGGAGTCATGATATCGTGAAATATATTTTCCCTGACACATTTTCGGAGCGACTAGATGCCAGTGTTACAAAACATCTTCATCATATGTTGGTGTTGCCAGAATAACGAGGAAGATTGAGGAGCCACAATAAGAGAGATTTTTTGTCTGCATTTCCTGTATAAAAGGAACCTTGCATAGCCAAAATGTGAGAGCTAAAGCACTCTCAAAATGCTTCTTGTACTTTACAGGAAATTGAGAGAGGCATTTAACTCTATGATATTTTCTTTAGAAAATTGGTTACATGGTTGAAATTGTACTATTTCAATAGTAAAAATGTGTTCATAAGGGTTTCCCATGGGTTCACGGATGTAGGACAAGGTTTTAACATGGGTATCACAGCAATACCACTGTGCATATACTATTCATTACTGTGTAAACACTGTGTTGTTCACTGTGCGTATACTATTCATTATTGTGTAAACACTGTGCTATTCACTGTGCATATATTGAAATTTACGTCATCCTACATGGACACAAGATGCGTGGTAATAGTTGTGAAAAGTAGAATGGGTCCTCTTGGACCATATTATACAGACCATATTATTTACTTGATCTTGCATGTACTATTCGTATGGTCTTCTACGATACTATTCATTTGTACAGTACTATTCATTTGCACAGTATTATTCATATGACTATTCATACGCACATTACTATTCACAGTACTATTTATATAGTCCTCGTGACCACAAACTTATACGGTCCAAACAGTTATTTTGAAATATAACAAGCCAAAAAGCTTACACGCTATTAGGATTTAGATTTAGATGATGTTTGGTCGTCTTGTGATCTTTCGAGACATAATAAGCCACAGAAGCAGACACATTAGGCCTCAAGCTGTTTAGGTCGATGCCGACATGGTTACCAACTTAACATTGATGTCTTCAAAATCTACGTTTTTGTAGGTGTCGAATTCAATGGCAAAAACTTGATTTTTTTTGGATCACCAATGCCTGTGAGGCCAAAGAGTATGAGAAATTGTGTGCATGGCCAATAGCCGTCGCTTGAGGTGTTCTTGAAATTGAAGTGACTAGGGTAGAAGGCATGGCTAATATGTAGTGTTTTCGTGAATCTCTAACTTGCGGAATCAAGAATCCCAAACAATGGGATCCCACCAAAGATCGTATACATGATTGACTAAATACGAAGTAGATGAATACAACTATAAATTGAGTACAATAGATAAAGCAAACATAAAAAGCACACCACAATAACACACGATTTACGTGATTCACCCCATGGGGCTACATCCACGGTCTCGACAGCTAGAAATCTACCATCACAATGAAGATTACAGTTTTGGATTATAAGAGATAATACGTATCTCTAAACATCGATAAAATATCATCATCGATCTTCCTTTCTAAACCCGCTCTCCTGACCGAGTAACACCGTCGATCAACATCTTCTTTCCCACGGCAATATCACTAATGGAAAGATAACTTCGAGAGAAACATAAAGATTTTATCTCTCTAGAAGTAGAAGTTAACCAACTCCAAAACTCATGGGAATACTGCCTCTCTCTTTCAGAGGTTATGTCTCTTTTTTTTAGAGACCCATCTCCACATTAGAGATCTATTCCCATAACCCTCAAAGGAGTGACTCTCAAAGAATGGGTATTATGTCCTCCTTCACTCTCTTATAAAGATATTACTTTTTTGCTTATCAACAAAATCAATTTTTTATTTCTCATAATACCTTATTTTTTAAAATAAAATATAGGTTTGGTGATTTCGCTATCACCAAACCCAACACAATAGCCGTATTTATAATGGAAAGAAGATGGCTTAGGGTGTGTAACGAAGTTTAAGATTTATTATTTTTTTTTTTTAAAATTTTGAGTCTAGTCAATGACACGCTACAACCTCCCCGATTTAAAATGTGAAGTAATTGTGATATTCTTGTACTAAAATAAATGATCTCTTTATATACTTTTTTTTGTTTTCTTGGGCTCAAGAAAGGCGTCGATCACTAGTTTTGATTAGGTAGGAAGAAGGAAAGATGACTTTATAGAGTAATCGGATTTGCCTAACGACGTTTTTTTTATGGTTTGTGTAAGAAATGACGGAGGGAATGGATTGGGGCCGTTAGATTATTTCGTATTGCCACGCATCCATCTCTTCCTTTAATGTGGACTTGGAAAAGTCAACTCATTGCTAGACTTGGATTCTCTTTTTGAGGAGGAGCCAAGTTGTTACGTACCTTGGAGAATTCTCATCAATAGAGTCCATTTGCAGTAATTGCAGTTTGCAAGTCATGGCAGCCGAGTATTGCAATAATGGGTGGTGGAGATGGTCACTCTTATCTCAGAAAAAGGTCACTGCAATTTACTGGGGTAGCTGCAGTTTGCTAGTCATGGCTAACTTATTTGAACCATAGTATCTTCCCTCCCAATGTCTAAGCAAAATGGTGAGTGTTTTGAATGAATCAATGAAAATACCAAGGACCGTTTTGAATGAATCAATGAAAAAACCAAGGACGATTCAAAGATGCAAATGGTTGCTTAAGTTGACTTCTGTCAAGGACTATTGAGTCTTGTGAATTAATATTAAAAAAATTAAAAAATATTTAAAGAAAAATATAGAATGATACTATTTACCTTTGATACAAATTGGTCGCATGAATCTTGACCATTGGATGTAAAATTGGGTGGCTGCAATTGTTCCACCAACCAAGTTCAAACTTCAAAAGAAATTCTTTCGAACTTTGTGACTTATCTAAGCTATCAATTTACACATCAAATGATTGTAAGAAATTGTGACTATTTTATATTAAAGGTAAAATGGTCTCATTATATACAATTCCATATTATATAATAAGATTATTTACTCTTGGTATGCCAATGTACTAACCATTATTGACCGTTATGGCAGTTGAAGTTGTATCATTGACTAGGCACAATGTTCAAAATGAAATTTTTTAAATATTGTGATATATTCAATAATTGGATTTCATATCTAATAACTAAAAATGATGGTGACGTCCACGTACAAAAAAATAAATAGTCTCTCAGTATACAATCGCAAAAACTTAACACTATTAAATGCTTTGAATTCATCTAAAGACACTAACATCTCTTAGGTCATGGTTATAGATTTGCGGCTAAGGCTTGAACCATCTAATAATCCTAAACTGTATATCTGACCATGCTTAAGTAAAATTCACGGGTATAAGCATCGGCAGTCACAAAAACGTGTGCTGCACTCATTTTGAGGAGGCATTCAAACAAGGCCTTAATGTTTGAGTAGATATTTTCCTACACATGCTGAGTTGGGATTCCAATTGACAAGTCTCTTGTATGCTTTCCCGAAAGTCACGAGTCATCTCTAATTTTCTCATGAAAATGTGCAAAAGCTGGCTGAAGTTGATCCGGTGTAGAGCATCTTTAACGAATTAGTAATTGATCAGTTGCAGTTTTCTCCTAATCAATCTTCAAATGTCTAATGTCCTAATATGAAATTTTGCGGCCAATCTTGTGACTAAGCTGCTATTAATCTATTAAGTTTCGATTAAGTTAGGATTTAGGAATACAAATTTGATGGAAGGAATCACAACTGTTAATCCTAAATAGTTGAAAAAAGGTTGTGATGATGATAGTGATAATGATAGAGGAAAACATAATATATCGTTGGTAACATTCTACTAAGTGTATCGAGACTCAGCAGTGGTCAATCAAACTTGCCCCGAGTTACTCGGCCTTGCCCTAAGGGCATTGTAAGGTTTACCCGAGTTGGCTGTACAGGATTTTAAATAGTAAATATATATTATTACATCAACTGTATGTCAAAAAGCATGAAAGGCCTTTTGAGTAGTGTTGGCACATGTTTGTCGAAAGGGCTGGGGTTCGAATTTTTTATTTTAGGGTTAAAAAATAGGAACTAGAAAAGGAAAAAAAATAGTGCCCCCAAGAATCGAACTCAAGGCCTCTTACAAAGACACATCCTGATGGTTGCTTGAGAAAGCTGGTCGCTATATTGTATATACCAAGTTTTTGTCTTCATTTTCTTTAAAAAAAAAAAAATTAAGCTGGACTTGGGTGAGCTCTTGTTCTTTCCCGGGTAACCCCACTTGGCCAAGGCCTGAGTACCTTGGCCGGCAGGATACCTGCAAATTACATCATGCAAAGCGTATTTATTATATAACCACAACGTTAGCATCATAACACACATTCAAAATTAGAGTATTTCCAATGCAAATGCTAAAGCTCATAGAACAAAGCAACCCTTCTACTCTCCAGAGTTTAGTTGTATTGGCCTTGCAGTGCAGCAGTCGATTCTTACAAACTTACTCTGAAGTCTCATGAATATTTGTGTTATAGACATTGTGATACTAAAAACAAGTGACAGGAAAACAAAGAGTAAATTGTTGTCGATATATCAACGACCTCCAGATAACATAAATTCTGTGCAGATGGAGAGGTGACTGTGGGAAGATGTGTGTGGGGCCAAATAATGGTCGTTTTCCTTCTCTGATACAACCAATTCGGTGGCCGAAATCTGAGGGAGTGGGACATCACCATCCAAATATTGGTTAACTTGCCTCATACTTGGCCTGGCAGCAGGCACTGGGTGAGAACACCACAACCCTAGCCATAACACCATTGTAATCTCTTCAGTTTCAAAGCAACCTTCAAGCCTAGGGTCAGCAACATCCAAGAGCTTTCCTTCCTTAAAGCATTCCCACACCCAATCCACCAGAATGACTTCTTGCTGCAACCTCTGTCGCTCAATAGGCCTGCGCCCGCAAGCCATCTCTAGTAACACAGCACCATAAGAGAAGACATCAGTCTCAGTGGTGGCCTTGCCAGTGCGGGACATCTCGGGTGCCAGGTACCCAAATGTCCCCACAACACGGGTTGTTTGTGTGTTGGATCCATGCTCGTACAGCCGCGCTAACCCGAAGTCGCCTAACCGAGCATTCATATCCGCATCTAGCAACACGTTGCCGACTTTCACATCTCTGTGTATAACTACTTGCTCCCATTGCTCATGCAGGTACGATAGCGCAGAAGCAACACCCTTGAGGATTTTATGCCGCTGCTTCCAGCTTAGGGGTGGCACGTTGTCATAGAACAGGTGCTTGTCGAGACTACCGTGGGGCATGTACTCGTAAACTATTATGAGCTCGGTTTTCTGCTTGAGCCATCCGAGGAGTGGCACCAGGTTCCGGTGCCCTAGTTTACCCATGCTGGAGATCTCTGCCAGGAATTCTCGCACCCTTCGCTCTGATTCATGTGCAACTTTCTTCACCGCAACTTGCAGACCCGAGTCCGGCATTACACCTTTGTAAACCTTCCCAAATCCTCCGAATCCTATTAACTCATCATCATGGAATCCTTTTGTAGCTATAAAGATTTCCTTGTATGAGAGCCTATGGGGGCAACCATTTGCCAACTCACAGTCTTCCACAGTTTCCCCATCTGTTCGCTTCCGAACAAGGTATAGAATCACAGAAATGGCTGCAATGGCAAGGATTATTGAGGAAAGCGAGATCCCAATCTTAGAAACCATGAAAAGCTCTTTAGATGATTTGGATCTCGGGTACGAAGGAAGATCCGAGATATCCAAATCTTGAGCTCTGCCATTTATCATGAAGCTCCATCCCGTAATGTAATGGCAGCTTGCCATGATGCCTGTGCTTGCAGAGAAACCCACATACATGTACTCCTGCAGGATAGGGGAGAGATCGACCCTGGAAGAAATCAAAGGCAGACCGGTCCTTCCCGCCATCCTGATAGGAGACAGAGTTATATTGAGTAACTTCTCTGTGCCATCATATTCTATCCATACCTGAAGTGGGTCTTCACTCTTGAGACTTAGATTATGTTTGGTGGTCTGATGATCCTCTGTGAGATAATAGGCTGCAGAAGTCGCTACACTCGACCTCACATTATTGAGGTCGATGCCCACATGGTTGCTATCAATGTCACCTACATCGATGTTCTTGACGGTATCGAATTCCACTGCAAAAACTTGATTTTCAGAGTCACCATTGCCCGTGAGGTTGAAGAGTCCGAGGTACTGTGTGGCATTAGCTCTTTCAAATTGAGCATTAGGAGAGATTACAAAGGCAAGGCCATAACCAGGGGAGACACTGGGAAGGGTGATAGCAAACACAAAAGCTGTTGAGAAAGAGAAAGCATTTCCTGAAGAGGAGTTCTTGAATTGCAAGAAGAGGAGTTCTTGAATTGCAAGAGGTTGGGGTAGAAAGCATGACCTATCACTGGTTGAGAATTATTGGTTAGCTGTAAGGCTCCACTAGGTATGACCTCTGACACACCTGTTAAGTTCAAGTTTGCTCCATGGAAGCTTGAGTAGTTGAAGCCAGTGTCATATGAAGAAGAGAGGGTGATTGCAAGAAAGAGGAGCACAGTTTGGAGAAGCATTTTTGTTCTTTTGGCCACACCGAAGAAGCTGGAGTTGCAAAAATGTTGGTTTTGTTTGGGTGGGAAGAAGGCTATGGAGAACATGGATAGCAAGAAGTATATTATTGCTTTGATTTTATGAGGTTCAATTTTGTTTAGATCACTAAATTCCCATAAAAGAAGTTTCTATCCATTAAAAAGAGGAAAATTGTTTGGTGCGATCCAAGCGCGCACTTGTTAATATGCGGGCTTGGAGATCTTCTCCGTCTGCCAAAACCGGGTCTCCCCCAATAACTCTCGAATTTATTGAAAAAATAGATAGGGGCCTGTTTTTCTACTGAATTACCAAAAAAAAAAAAAAGCAAAAAAAAAAAAACCTATGGTTTAGGCCCCATTATCACCTATCCCATTAAAAAACCACTGACGATTTCATAAAACGGATAGAGGCTCGTCATTCCCACTTAATTACCAAAAAAACAAAAAAAGACTTGTAAAAGCCGTCAGCGAAGAATATGAGATATTTTCATGAGGTGGTAGGCCCATGAAGCGTGAGTATGTTTGGTTTTGCTTGTTATCGTTGATGATTTATTGATTTTATAAAAATAAATTTTCATAACAAATTATCTCATTTTTGGCCGTGTTCCTCATTTTTATATACGAATCGAGGAGAGGACATCCCCGTCTAATTTGTGGGGATCGGGAAAAAGAGGCAGATCCAAGCTTCGATCTCTCTCACGCACGCACTGTCGGTTGTGCCCGCTTGAGATCATGTGAACTCTAAAAAGGATTTTGAAAGAAATTGAAAAATTGGTTTATCAAAGGGTTTTTTAAAAAAACAAATATTAAAATATCAAAAGAAAGAAAGAGACAAATTACCTTACCTTGTAGCCGGCAGCTTGGAGTTGGGGAGGTGGATCAGACTTAGCAGTTGCGACATCCTTCTCCTTGACCGTAGAGATTAATCTTCAACCGGGTAAATTGTCCTCCAATTTCGAAGGGGATTTGACCTAGCCATTCTTCTCTTTTGTTTTAATACTTGAATTCAAATTCGGGTTTCAACTCTTTTCGTTTGTGGTTGATGGTCTGAGGGTAGAAGCAACATGTTTTCTAGAGTTTAGGAAATCATGGTTATTGAGACCTCTGGATTCTAGAGTTTTAGCCCTATAAGTGACTCCAGGAGGGGATATTTATAAACTGGAGGTTTTAAAATTAGAGCACCAATCTTCGGGATTTGACCTGGGCTATCAGATCTGACTCGGTTTTTGCTTAAAGTTCCCTACTTTCCTTTTGATGGCGGTCCTGTCATATTTATACCATTTTACATGGTCAGATTCAGCTTTTATCCCTCTTGAGCATATGACCTGCCTATTTTAAGTGCTAAATCTTCTAGTATCCGTTATTTCGGTTAACTCATTTTCTTTGGAATGACCTAGAAGAACCCTCATATAGACGTTTTCTTTAAAGTTATCATGTAAGAAAACATTTTTAACATCCCTCTAAGGCATAGATCATCTATAATTAACTGCGATGACAAGAACATGAACAATATTCATCTTGACAACTGGTGCAAAAGTGTTTTTATAGTCGACTTTATTAGTTTAGGCAAATATTTTAGCCACCAACTTGGCCTTTTGTCTCTCAATTGTGGCCCATTATTATTATATTTTATTCTAAAAGACCTTTTAAATCAAACTGCTTTCTTTCCTTTAGGTAACTTGATAATGTCCCCAGTATTATTCTTGTCTCTCTTTCATGACCTTCCTCCACACATGTTGAAAATTAGCATTTTGAAAACTAGTTAGCTTAAAATGATTAGAAATTGAACTAAAGAAAGCAAAATAGTTATGAGAGATATCATCATAAGAAATATGATTTTAAATTAGATAAGAAACTCCATGATAAGTATAAAAATCTTGAAGGCTAAAAGAAGGTTGAAGAACATGAGAAGACATGTGCAGAGGGGGACATCAAGTGGGGTTACAACAGAGTTTTCTTTTTCCTAACCAGCTTGGTGAGTTTCAAAAATATCTTTACCATCGTCTTGGTCATCATGACCGTTTTCTTCCATATGACTTATGTTGGTTATGTTAGACACATCATTATCACTAATATTAAGCAAGTGCAAAAAACCTCTAGAACACTCCACCTAAGTCCTATTTCCAAACCACTCTTCAAGGTGTCACTGAAATAGAACTCAATTTTAACAAATTGAACAGCTCTGGAAACATACATTTTTCTTGTTGGAGATCATAACATTTATAGTTCTTTTTAATAGAGGAGTATCCAAGAAATACACATCTCCTAGCATGTTTATTAAGTTCATCCCTATTGTTGTCTACCACATAGACATAAGACACATTCAAATACAAGCAAAAGAGACAAATCAAATTTTTTATGTTTTTCAAAACTTCAAGGGGAGATTTATCATTAAGAATTTTACGAGAATGTCTATTAATTAGATATCAAGCTGTTAAGATGGCTTCAAATCAATAAATTTTTGCAACATGTATCTGAAACATCAAAGACCTTGTAGCTTCCAAAAGGTGTCTATTTTTCTTTCTGCAACTCTGTTCTACTGAGGTGTCCCTACATACGAGGTTTAATGTATAATGCCATGGTTACATAAATTCTCAGAAAAATATTTGTTCACATATTTTAGGCCATTATTAAATGTCAGAAATCCGATCTTTGCATTATATTGATTAGAAATCAGAATGGGAAATTACTTGAATACATGAAAAACTTCTTTTTTTTATTTTAAAAAATACATCTAAGTAGCAGGAGACCAATCATCAATAAATGTATCAAAATATTTATAGCCACTATAAAAGTCAACTGGGGTTTATCCCCATACATCAAAATATATCAAATAAAAGGATTCCTCTATAACATGCATAGAAGACTGGAAGGGAAGTCCGGTTTGTTTTGATAATTTACAAACTTTACAAGAATGAGAGTTTAGATAAAAAAGGCACTAAAATTTTTAAAACGTTATCTAAAGGATGTCCAAATCTACAATGCCATAACTTATTTACATCAGAATTTTCTCGACTGGCAATCAAAGCCTCGTTTATCTGATTAAATAGGTACAACCCATGATATAGTCTTCCTTCACCAATATTTGTCCTCGTGGCTCAGTCTTGAAAAATCATAGAGTTTAGAGAAAAAATAATATGTAATTCATGCTCTGAGTAATTCTACTAACATACATCAAGTTAGAGGGAAAATATAGCATAAATAGAACTTCAGAGTTATTGGACTTAGAAAAAAAAATAGTCTTACGAACATTATGAACTAGGATCAAAGAATCATTGACAATAGATACAAGGTTCATATTTCCATTATTTTAAAAATTGGATAGGTAATGTAAGTTACCAGTTATATGATTTATGTCCTCTGAGTTTATTATCGAAGTAAAAATACAACAAGAGGACATGAAAACATAAATGTTACATATATCCTAGGAGGAGGAAGGACGATCCTATGTAGAGGAAGAACCACTTCTGTTGCTTGGGTGCTTACAATGATCACAATTGCAGTGATGGATTTGAGCAGTTGCAGTCTGAGCGGTAGATCTGTCAATTGTCATGTTATTAGTGCGCCTTAAGTATAGGTATAATACTCAGTACATATCCTTCATATGCCCTATATTGTTATTATAATCACATCTAGAACGCCCTCTATTACCACGACCCCTTCCACCACCATGATAATTGTTAGGGCGTCTATCTCCACCACTATTTTGAGGCCTTTTTGTATCATATATCTCTTTATTAGCAACCATGATATATTTCTCAACACTTTTTTTAAAGGTTTTAAAATCAAAGTTCATGATTTTCTTTTTAGTTTCCTCACATTGAATAGTAACACAAACATTACTGAAGGAAGGTGTTACACCCCAAGAATTTACAATACTGTTATTCCTGAGATGTGACAAACAAAACATATATATATTTCTTGTTAGGACAAATTTACAGTGGTGAGGTCTTATAAAGTAAATAAAGAACGCTAGCACAATAACAGTATCTTCCAAGGCTGATCTTGACTAGCACTCAAAATGGATCCGCAATTATCCTGAAAAAATGTTTACCATAGTTTGATGAGTTTGGCTACTCAGTAAGTGATCATCATAATCCTAAAAATAATCATGGTTGAAAGATATCAATATTTTCAAAAAGAAGATCTATTAACAGAAATGCATCAACAGTTTCACTTTCAATAAATGTATAATTAAGTATAATCCGAATAATTGAAATGCACATAACACTTTAACGGCAGTGCATAATTCAAAGGATTTCACAAAATACCCTACTGGCGTCCCAAGTAGGTCACCTATATACCCCATCGGCCTCTTGATGGGTCCACTTAATCCCTATCGGCGTCCCAGATAGGTCCACTTAATCCCTGCAGGTCCACTTATACCTCACCGGCATACCGGATGAGTCCACTTAATCCCTACCGGCGTCCGGGTAGGTCCACTTATACCTCACCGACGAACCGGATGAGTCCACTTGCATACTTAAAGTATTTCTAAATCTCTTTAAACATTCGAAAGCAGCAATATCATGTACTAAACGTATCACTGAAATCATTACTATGAATTTCACTGAAACCATTAATAACATTCACTTTCAATAACATTTCAAAAATAACCAATCAAATATTTTGGGCTCAAATTTAGAAAGGTAGCAGTTCGTAAAGACATTCTAGCATAATTGTCAATTTAATATGTATAGAAAAACTCTTATAGAAATTCAAGAATACGGAATTATCACAATTTATGGGATATCAATTCACAAATAAACATTTCACAACAATGCTATAATCAATTGCAAAAATATCAATTTTTAAATAATAAGGCAGTCATTTGCACATGAATTTTACAATATCTAAATATTAAAAAACAGTAGAAAGAATTCTCACAATTTTACTAACAACAGAATATCACATTTATTTTTAATAATTTTACTGTATTTAAAATTTTCTAACAATAGACAAGAAAATAAATAAATTTATTTTTTTAAGAATTTACAGCATTTAAAATTTCTAACATAGATAAAATATCACAATTTTTATTAAAAAGATTATTTTTCAAGATAATAAGGTCGCGTGCGCATAAAATTTATCGCGCCTAAAATTCATGATAATAAGTAGAAATAATTATTTCATTTTATTTTTAAAAAGAATAGATTATTTTTCGAGACAATGAGGTCACTTACACACAAAGCTTATAAAATAAAGATCTTGGACGGAAATATCACTATTTATTAAAAACAGACTATTTTTCAGGAAGATGATGTCTCTTACATTAATTCTGAAATTGAGGGAGCATCCGTTTTAGATGTGGGCTTATCATATGTGTTATCATAGTCTCGTGTGTATGATTCATAGACCATGGTTAGAGAGAGAGGTTATAAATAGAGAAGGTCCAGTACATAGAGTTGAGGTTGGGTAGAGGAGATAAGCGAAAGAATCTCTTTTCTTGTTGAAGCAAAGGATGCTTCTTGAGGGAGGGTCGATGATCTGCTAATGAGAGAAAAAAAAAAGAAGCCCCTTGACCAAAAAACGCAGAGAGAGAGAGAGACACATACAGGCTAATAAAAGCGATACACCTCATATGCAAGGTGTACCTTAAAGAGGTGTTTTTATAAAACTTTAAGTGGTGGACTTAAGGTCCACCCCAGTAGAATTGAACCCTCAAGTATATTAACAATAATATCATTTATTTATTGTTAATAAATATTATTGTTAATATAAAAGCAACAATATCCTAACGGTATATTAGTATTATTATTATTATTATCATTACTAATATATACTTATTATTTTATTTATTTATTTTTATTTTTGTATTTATTTCTGTTAACATCATTAATATTATTATTATATATGTATATTTTTTTTATTTTTTTTGAAAGTTTAGGATTGTTACAAAAGGCAATTCCATGGTCATTAAAATTTGACTCCTAATATATTCATATTCATCATTCTTTAACCCTGTAAAAAATTGAAATACTTTATCTTGCTCACCACGGTTTTGCAAGATTGCCAAGTCAATAGTTGGGGATGAGTACATTGCCAACTCATCCCAATACTATTGAGAGTGCCAAGATATTTAGTAATTGTTTTGTCCTCTTGTTTTGTTTGAAAAACTTCTTATTTAAATTGAAAAATTTTAGCAACATTATTTTGTTGGTCGTACATTTCCTCAATGGATTTCCATAAATCATAGGCATTCTTAGCAAAACTAAAATTTTTTGAAACTTTAGGTTCCATGGATTTCAAGATCCGTGACATTACATGGTCGTCGTTGGATTGCCATTCCTCAAATGAGGGATCATTTTTGCTTAGAGCCTTTTTCTTCTCATTAATGTGTCCAAGTTTAGATTTCCCAAAAAGAGAATGAGCAACAACTTTCGAATAAATAAAATAATTAAGCTCATTCAAAAAGACAGTAGTGAGTTTCATGTTAGAGTTATGTTCTAAATCTGCCCATTACAAGGAGATAAAGGAAACAAGAAGACTGAGCAGATAAATGAAAATCGTACAGGTTGAAGTTCGGGTGAAGGAGCAAAGGTGTGAAAGAAATACGAGAAGAAACTCTCTAAGGTAATTGCCCCTTGATAAATAGAATGAAGGTGCCAACAATACTAATAAATACTAATAAATAGAATGAAGGTGCCAACAATACTAATAAATACTAATAAATAGAATGAAGGTGCCAACAATACTAATAAATACTAATAAATAGAATGAAGGTGCCAACAATACTAATAAATAGAATGAAGGTGCCAACAATACTAATAAACAGAATGAAGGTGCCAACAATACTAATGCAAGCAACATCATCTACACCAAGATGGCCACTATTGTCAAACTTTTGACTTCGTCCCCTTTTGTTTATTTTGTATTGCTTCATCAGCATTTCACATTCTCCCTCTGGCCAATCATTGATGAAGGCTATGGGAATAAAAATGATACAAATCCTCTAGGTGTTAAAAAGGAGGCATGGAGCTTGCAAAGTCACTGTAGAGAAAGACGGATGCCGCAATCACAATAGGTAACGTTCTGCTAAGTGTGTCGAGACTCGGCCAAAGCCAATTGGACTTAGCCGATTTTACTCGGCGGCTTGCCCTAAGGGCAATGCGAGTTTTTCTGAGTAAGTTGTACCAATTTTTAAATAGTAAATATATAATATTATGTCCTTGAAAGGACTTGTAAGTAGTATAAGCACATGTTTGTCGAAAGGCCTGGGGCTTGAATTCCCCCAAATAACGCTGCCCTATTCTTATTTTTATTTAGTAAAGAAACAAAAAAATAAAATAAAATAGCACCCCCAAGAATTGAACATAACCTCTTTCCAAGAGGCATCAGCCTAACTAACACACCATGTCTTAAGAAAGCTGGTCGCTATATTATACATATCAAATTTTTGTTTTCATTTTTTTATAAAAAAAATAAGCTGGACTAGAGGCGAGCTACTTAGATTTGCCCAAGTAATTCAGCTCGGCCAAGGTAGTCTTCATCAAGGCCCAAGTACCTTGACCTAGTCGATTTTCTCAATATTGGTTCTACTGTCATAAGAATGAACCCTTGCGATCAAGATACCTGCAAATTACTTCATGCCTAGCAACATACACACACAAAATTAGACTATTTCCAATGCAAATGCTAATGCTTATAGAACAGAGCAACCCCTTCTACTCTCAGAGTTTAGTTATGCTGGCATTGCAGTCCAGCAGTCGATTCTTACGAACTTCCTCTGAAGTCTCATGAATATTTCTGCTATACATATTGTAATGATAAAAACAACTGACAGGAAAGCAAAGAGTAAATCTAAGTCGATAAAAATGGTGTATCAACGACCACCAGATAACAGAATTTCTGTGCCTGCAGAGCAGATCGAGAGTTCAGTGTGGGAAGATGCGTGCGGGGCCAAATAATGGAAGTTTTCCATCCCTGGTGCAGCCAATTTGGTGGCCGAAATCTCAGGGAATGGGACATCACGATTCAAATATTGGTACACTTGCCTCATACTTGGTCTGGCATCAGGCACTGGATGAGAGCACCACAACCCTAGCCATAATACCATTGTCATCTCTTCAATTTCAAAGCAACCTTCAAGCCTAGGGTCAGCAACATCCAAAAGCTTTCCGTTCTTGAAGCACTCCCACACCCAATCCACCAGAATGACCTGTTTCTGCAATCTCTGTGGCGAAATTGGCCTACGCCCGGAAGCCACCTCTAATAAAACAGCACCATAAGCGAAGACATCAGTCTCAGTGGTGGCTTTGCCAGTAAGGGACATCTCAGGTGCCAGATACCCAATTGTCCCCACAACACGAGTTGTTTGCGAGTTTGATCCATGCTCGTATAACCGTGCTAATCCGAAGTCCCCTAACCGAGCATTCATCTCCGCATCTAGCAACACGTTGCTGGCTTTCACATCTCTGTGTATAACTACTTGCTCCCATTGCTCATGTAGGTACAATAGTGCAGAAGCAACACCCTTAAGGATTTTATGCCTCTGCTTCCAGCTTAGGGGTGGCCCATCTTCATGGAACAGGTACTTGTCGAGACTACCGTGGGGCATGTACTCATAAATTATTATGAGCTTGGTTTTTTGTTTGCACCATCCGATAAGTCGTACCAGGTTCCGGTGTTGTAGTTTGCCGATGCTTGAGATCTCTGCCACAAATTCTCGCACCCTTTCCTCCGATTCATGAGCAACTTGCTTCACCGCAACTTGCAGACCAGAGTCCCGCATGACACCTTTGTAAACCTTGCCAAATCCTCCGAATCCTATTAACTCTTCCTCATGGAAACCTTTCGTAGCCATAAAGATTTCCTTGTATGAGAACCTATGGGGGCCATTTGCCAATTCCCAGTCTTCCGCAATTTCCCCATCTGTTCGCTTCCAAACAAGGTATAGGATCACAGAAATGGCTGCGATGGCAAGGATTATTGAAGACAGGGAGATCCCAATCTTAGAAACCATGGAAAGGCCTTTAATTGATTTGGATCTCGGGTACCAAGGGAGATCAGAGCTGTCCAAATTTTGAGCTCTGCCATTTATCATGAAGCTCCATCCAAGAATGTATTGGTAGCTTGCCACGATGCCTGTGCTTGCAGAGAAACCGACATACATGTACTTCTGCAGGATCGGGGAGAGATCAACCCTGGAAGAAATCAAAGGTGGGCCAGTCCTTCCGGGTATTCTGATAGGAGACAGAGTTATATTGAGTAACTTCTCTGTGCCATCATATTCTATCCATACCTGAATTGGGTCTTCACTCTTGAGACTTAGATTATGTTTGGTGATCTTATGATCCTCTGTGAGGTAATAGGCTGCAGAAGCTGATACATTCGACCTCACGCTATTGAGGTCGATGCCAACATGGTTGCCATCAATGTCGCCAACGTCGATGTTCTGGGTGGTGTCGAATTCCACTGCAAAAACTTGGTTTTCAGGGTCACCGTTGCCTGTGAGGTTGAAGAGTCCGAGGTACTGTGTCGAATTGGCTCCTTCAAATTGAGTAGAAGGAGAGATTACAAAGGCAAAGCCAGAGCCAGGGGAGACAATGGGACGGGTGATAGCAAACACAAAAGCTGTGGAGAAAGAGAAAGCATTTCCTTTTGAGGAATTCTTGAATTGCAAGAGGTTGGGGTAGAAAGCATGACCTATCACTGGTTGAGAATTATTGGTTAGCTGTAAGGCTCCACTAGGTATGACCTCTGACACACCTGTTAAGTTCAAGTTTGCTCCATGGAAGCTTGAGTAGTTGAAGCCAGTGTCATATGAAGAAGAGAGGGTGATTGCAAGAAAGAGGACCACAGTTTGGAGAAGCATTTTTGTTCTTTTGGGCACATAGAAGAAGCAGGAGATGCAAATATGTTTTGTTTTGTTTTGGTGGGAAGAAGGCTATGGAGAACCTGGATAGCAAGAAGAATATTATTAGTTTAAAAGTATAAAGCATCCATATTAAAGATGGATGCAAGTAGGTGTTTCATCTAAAAACAAAGGAAACTAACAGCCCAAATGTTTTTTTATAATAATTATTATTTCTAGTTTTTTATTTACTTATTTTTTCATATTCATGATCTCTATATCTGAGATCTCAAAAATCCTTAAAAATTAAGTCCAATAATCCATCTCAAAAATATATTTATTAGTAGGTGTGTATTTCTATATATGCAGGCTTGACCGCATAGAAACCAGATACTTTATTTTATGAGGTTCAATTTTTCTAAGATCATTAAATTTTCATTTTTTGAGGTTCAGTTTTTCTAAGATCATTAAATTTTCATAAAGGTTGTGGTGTGGTTTGTATGAGGCTACGCCTTGAACAATCAAATTAAATAAAACCTTTCAAACGGTGCCGAAATAATTTTTTTATGTATTATTAATTTTTACGATGGCTTAACATTTTATTTTATTTTTAATTATTTAAACATTAAAAAATAGTGTAGATTGAGCAGATCTATGAGCACTTGAAATTCTTGAAAATTGACGATCTACATAATACATTACAAGATGGACTATTTCTAAAATTTTTAAAATCCATTTTTTCTCTTGAGGGGGAGATAATCCAACTTGAGAGTTTTTCAGTATTAAAATAGCTTTTTTTTAATAAATTTTTGAAGTGCCCCTTAATTTGATTGTTTAGGGCCTCAACCATATATAAATTTTTCCCTTCGTAAATAAAAGTTGTAATCATTGGAGTGTTAAAGTTAAGGATTGCCCTGGCCTCCACGACAAGAATATTCCCCCACGATAACGGTCAATCGACAAAACGTACTATGCTATAGTCCCTCGGGCATATACTATATATGTACTCTCACGGGCAAAACACTTGAATTTTTTTTTTTTAAAAATAAAATAATTCATGATCTGTCTAAGTATAACCAGATAACTAATTTCAAATAAAAAATTTTGGATTATGAGTTTTTGAACATCTAGATCATTCCCTCTAAAAATTGGATTATTCTAGTGAATCGTGGATATCATTTTTTTTTTTCCTCATAGAGAGAGAGTTATTATTATTATTATTATTATTCACTTTGAATTTGGTTGGCTTTTTTTTTTTTTGTTGGACTTTGAATTTGGTTGCAAGAGTCTAAAGGTCACAAACCTAAAATTTGGGATTTAAAAGACGTTCCTAGTGTACGTTTTGCCTAAAGAAGTAGATGCACAGCGTACTCCTAGGGGAGTATGAAATCTTATGGCTTAGGAAAATATCTTTGCGAACATTGGAAGTGGCTTGAATGCTTGGACTTATATGCATGAAAGGAGTTGTAAAGCTGTCACGGAGGAGTATATGGTATTTTCATGAGATGGTGTGCCCATAAAAGCATGGGTGTGTTTGGTTTTGTGATATTTATTGTTTTTATAACAATAACTTTTCATAACAAATTATCTCTTTTCCGGCCGGGTTCCTCATCTTTATAAACAAATCAGGTAGAGAACTATATGAAATCCCTATCTAATTCTCGAAAGAATCTTTAAAAAAAGGATTTTGATAGAAATTTAAATTTTGATTTTTCAAAGAGTTTTCGAATAAAAAAAATCTCAAAATATCAAACGAAAATCTTGTAGTCGGCCCCACAGCCCGGCTCCTTGGAGTTGACTTAACAATTGAGGTATCCTTCTCCTTGATATTTCTATGGACTCCCTATGGTCTAGACTTGTGGTTTGTGATGTACTATGGATCACTACACTACTGTGGTTCATATTGCAGGTTTCGGGGAATTCCTTGGCATTCATTCTACATAGCACGATAAGTGACAAAGAAATAGACACCTGAGATACCAAAATTTAGAAAATGAAGACTTATTCGTCTAAATACCTAGCACCAAGGAGCAAAGGGTGCCACTATCATGGCAAGTAAGGCTTCAACATATCCTACATTCACCGGTCTTTCCAGGAGAAGTTCCCACACCAGTCATACCGGTTCACCTTGGCTTGTGCGTTAGTTTTGATTTGAACTTAAAAGAACATGGTTAAAGGGTATGTAAGACTTGAGAGTTCTCCTACTAGTCATGCTAGCCTACCTTGACCTCTTATTCAGGGCATTAGAAAAGAGTTATGGAAGAAAATACTGGCGAATTGAATTCTATCTGCCCTTGGCCATTGTGACGACCTAAAAATTTTGGAACAAAAAAAATTAAAAAATTAATAATAATAATAATAATATTAATGGTGTTAACAGAAATAAATACAAAATAAATAAATAAAATAATAATTATATATTAGTAATGATAATAATAATAATAATAATTTTATACCGTTAAGATATTGCTACTTTTATATTAACAAAAAATAAAACGATATTATTATTAATATACTTGAGGGTTCAATTTTATTTGGGTGGACCTTAGGTCCACCATCTTAAAACTTTATATTAACACTCATCTTATTTCGTTTGTAAAATACCTTGCATCTCAGGTGTTTCTATTTTATTCGACACTCACTCTCTCTCTCTCTATAGCATGGTTACTGTTTATGTTTAGGTAATGATAAAGATGTGCTTCCTTTAAAAGAAGATTGGGGATGTAAAAAAGAAAGAGGTTGTCGATTTGGTATGCAAGGTAACTTTTGCATATACTACTTTCATTTGCTTCTGTAAATCACAATCCCTGCTAAGTTGATTTTATATGCTTACTTTCCCTAGAAAAGATTCTTCATTCACATCGAGTCTCTGAAGAAAGTACTGATGTTTTTGTGCGGGATGGAACTGATGGTCCCCCAATTTCGGAGTTAATGTAAGCGATCTCATTGTCTCAAAGAATAATCTTTTTAGTAAAAATGGTGATATTTTATCTATTGTAAAAATATTTTAAATGCTGTAAATTATTAGAAATAAATGTGATAATTTTCGCTTTTAGTAAAATTGTGCGATTTCTTTCTACTGTTTTTTAATATTTAGACATTGTAAATTTCATATGCAAATGACTGCCTTATTATTTGAAAACAGATATTTTTGCAACTGATTATAGCATTGTTTGTGAAATGTTTATTTGCGAATTGACATCCCATAAATTGTGATAATTTTGTATTCTTGAATTTCTATAAGAGTTTTTCTATACATATTAGATTGGCAATTATGCTAGAATGTCTTCACGAACTGCTACCTTTCTAAATTTGAGCCCAATATATTTGACTGGTTATTTTTTAAATGTTATTGAAAGTGACTGTTATTAATAATTTCAGTGAATTCATATTAATAATTGCAGTGATATGTTGAGTACATGATATTGCTGCTTTCGAATGTTTAAAGAAATTTAGAAATACTTTAAGTATGCAAGTGGACTCATCCAATTAGCCGGTGAGGTATAAGTGGACCTATCCAGTATGCCAGTAGGGATTAAGTGGACGCATCGGGTTCGTCAGTGAGGTATAAGTGGACCTGCAGGGATTAAGTGGACCTATCTGGGACGTCGATAGGGATTAAGTGGACTCATCAGGACGTTGATGGGGTATATAGGTGATTTACTTGGGACGCCAGTAGGGGATTTTGTGAAATCTTTTGAAATTATGCACTGTCGTTAAAATGTTATACGCATTTCAATTATTCGAATTATACTTAATTATGGTTTTTTTTAAAGTGAAACTGTAGATGCATTTCTGTTATTGGATCTCCTTTTTGAAAATATTGATATCTTTCAACCATGATTATTTTTAGGATTATAATGATCATTTACTGAGTAGCCAAACTCATCAAACTATGGTAAACATTTTTTTCAGGATAACTGCAGTTTTATTTTGAGTGCTCGTCAGGATCAACTCTGGAAGATATTATAGTTGTGCTTAAACTTTCTTTTGTTACTTTGTAAGAATTCGCCATCGTAAATTTATCCTAAAAAGGAGATGTATATATGTTTTGACTGTCACAGCTCAGGAATATCAGTATTGTAAATTCTTGGGGTGTGACAATTATGGTATCAGAGCAATAGGTTTAAGATTCTTAGGAAATTTAAAAAAAATGTACTTAAAATCATATTTATTATGTGTACAGACCGAGAAGAAGTCAAGATCTAGAATAGCTTAATCTAATATGGAAGGAATTTACAAAGCCTTAGAAAATATGGTTGCTCTAATCCAACATCAAATAGAAAACAACAATCCACCCAGGCAGTTAGTTACGGGAAATGGTGAGAATAATATCGAACAATATAAGAAATTGAACCCACATTCATTTAAGGTTACTATAAACCCACTGGAAGCCGAGGAATGGATTATGCAATTGGAGAAAATATTCGAGATAATGGAATGCCCTGATGATAGGAAGGTGGCCTTGGCAGTTCTTATGTTAGAAAGAGATGCACAACATTGGTGGCGAATGGCAAAAAGAGTATTGGTCAAAGAAAATAAACCCTTGACTTGGGAGGTATTTCTAGAGGCATTTAATGAAAAGTATTTCCCAGATTTTATTTGAGACCAAAAAGAAATAGAATTTCTGAAATTAATCCAAGGAAACCGGACAGTAGCACAGTACGAGGCCAAGTTTACTGAATTGGCTAGGTTTGCACCACATATAATTAATAATGAGGCAAGAAAGGTGAAATTTTTTGAAAGGGGTCTCAGACCAGCTATTAGAAGCAGAATATCAGTCTTAAAATTGAGAACTTATACTGAAATAGTGGATCGAGCTCAAATTGTCGAAAAAGATTTCGAAGATTACCAAAGGATAAAAAATCAGAAAAGTCAGGTTAGATCCACACCATCTAATCGACAATAGTTTGAAAGGGCAAACAAGAAGCCAAGGCCCTTGCTACTTCAAAGCCCAATAGAACCATATAAAAAATATGAGAAACAACATGGATCGAGCCCTTGTTATTGGAATACTGGAGCTTGTTTTAAATGTGAAAATTGAGGCACCAGATTAGAGAATGTCCTAGCTTACAGATGCAATAGCTTCCAAAGCAAGGAGAGATAGCTCAAAAGACTCAGATGAAGGGAAGAGTATTTGCGATCACCCAGCAAGACGCTCAGGCCTCAAAATCAGTGATCCAAGGTATT